TTTCTGTCTTCATTAAACCAATTGTAATGTGTACATGTAGGTTGCAGACAGATACGTTACCTTGCACATGGTTACATTCAGGTCTTTTCTTCAAACAAATGTTCATGATAACTTAATCATAATTAATACGATAAGAAAGAAAACATATACACTCTTTGGATACAGATATAGTTTGTCTTTAATCGTTTCTAAAACTGTTTGCAATATATATTTTGTAGAAAGTTTTATTTAACAGGCCCTATACATTTATTACTGCATCACCATCCATGTACTTGGTTACATATCATGTCAAGATATCAAAGGCTCTCTTCACGTGAAGAGAATAAAACAAAAGCACATATGAAGTTTAAAATTAAAAAACCCTGCTTGTTTTGTGTATTCTTTATAATGTTGTGAACTTGTGTTTTTATTTGCATAATTTTGCATGTGGTATGAGGGGACAGCTTTGGGAAACTTGAATTTAAGTTATGCTGTTATTTTCTTATTGCTTTTATTTATTTCATGCAATAATGAACAATTACTGAAGGAGATGTAACATGTGCAACAGCTACGTTGTATATCAACTCTAGTGGAAATAATTACCTTTATTTATTGAATCATTTTTGTATAAATGTAAAATATATCAAAGATGACAGGACAACTCTGGGAAATTTTAATTGAAGCTATACTGTTATTATTTCCTCCCCTATCTCATTCATTTTATATACTAATGAACAATTGGACCTACCACAAGGGAATGTAATACGTACAACAGCTTTGATTTAACTCTCATGTAAATAATAACCTTCATTGCTTTGTATATACATTATACAGAGCAACTGCGAACAATTATCATTTTCAAGGGTATGCTGATGAATCATAAAACTATGTGTGGAACTGAACAGTGAAAATTTAGTCCATCGAATAATAAGGAACAGTTTGCTTTACGTGACACTGATTCTTGGGGTTAGCAAATACTATGAAGTATGGTGGCTCCTAAGGGAAACGCAAACGCAAAATTTGACGTATACCTATGCAACAAATTTTTAGTTTTGTACATCCAAGACGTGAAAATCCACAAAATTGACGTATACCTTTGCTTGGTAACTTTTTCGTTTTTCTGTACTCAATGGCCCTGAAGGGACACGCAGACTTGAAAATCTGCGTCCGATATTCACGTCTGCGTCTCCCAAAAGGGACACGCAGACATGAATATTGGACGCAGATTTTTTTTCTACGTCTTGGACGTAAAAAGACAATAAAGCCTTTAATAACGTCAATTTTGTGATTCACGTCTTGACGTGAAAATCCACAAATTTGTTGCATAGGTAAACGTCACATATATACGTCTGCGTCGGCCCAAAAGGGACACGAATATTGGACGCGAATTTTTTTCCAGTAAGTTGATCACCATGAAGATAAGCGCACAAGGATTTGTCTGCCCCTAGTTACTGATAAAGGGATTACCAACTGGTTTCTCATACTCAGTCCAGATTCACAGTCTTCTAATTGCAGATCCTACATCTATACTTATTCAGTGTAATAACCATGTGAATAAGCCTTTTAGGCATATCCAGTATATGCAATGTATCCCTTAGGCTATTACATGGCATAAATGTCAAGTAAATATGATACATTATAATAATGATAATAATAATAATAATAATAATAATAATAATAATAATAATAATAATAATAATAATAATAATAATAATAATAATAATAATAATAATAATAATAATAATAATAATAATAATAATAAATAAAACCGTTACTTATAAAGCGCTTACCACCGAAGTCTCTAAGTGCTATACACACAAAATAGACTGATATACAATTACATCTTATACAAAACTAAAAATGCAAACAAACATACAAATTACAATACATATGGAATACACGTCAAAGTGAACAGAGTTAAAGGGATCCGGTAACTTTGTCTCAGATTCTGAAAACATATTCTGGATTTAGCTCATGATGCAATGATAATTATAAACCTTTAGGTCAGTCAGGAACCCCGTGACTTTTACAAGCCGATCGCCCGTCTGATTATCAAGATATTTATGATTGGAATTACAAATTTTGAAAACCGTTCGCCTGACGGTTTTCATAACACTACAGTCTATTGGGGAAAACGAGTATGGTAAAACCGGTCACTCAAAGATTTTTTATTTTTTTGAGGCACTTCTTGATCATTTTGAAGCGCAATTTTTTAGGGCTTCAATATTACATCATATCACAGACACTGATAACACGTAAGGCCGTGTATCTCAGATTTAACATTGTTAAACGATCCCTTTAATTAATCATTGAACGCAATTTGGAATAAATGTGTCTTGAGACTAGTTTTGAATAGGTTAACGGTTTGACAGTTTTTTACATTTAAAGGTAATCTGTTCCAAAGTTCAGCAGAAGCTTTGAGTAAGGAGCGATTACCATAAGAAAGAGTTGACACAGAAGTAGGTACGAGGTTTAATTGTGAAGATGAGCGTAAACTGCGTGAGGGTTTGTATTCCTCGATTAATTCTTGCAGATAAATTGGTGCCAATTCATGAATGCATTTATAAGCTAAAACTAAGATTTTGTACATAATGCGGTACGTCAATACAGATGAATTATAAAAGTAAAATGACGAATAGAGCGGAAAATCTGTGCCAGGTAAAACGAAGTATAGTGGTAAGAATATCTGAGGTAAAAGTGCTGGAGCCGAGGTAACAATGTCAGTGGTAAAAATATCAGGAGTAAATAGCCTTTGACAATTTTACATCTGACATTTTTTTACATCTGATATTTTTGTCCCTGACATGTTTCCTTGTAACTCCGCATTCCATCTCCGACACTTTTACGTTGAACACTTTTACCTCACCCCAAAGAATCAATAAAGGTACTCTGAAAAATTAGATGTATTCATGCACTTTGATGTACAATATTCCTTACGAAAGTGTACAAGAGATATATATATATATATATATATATATATATATAAATCAGGATATTCTTGGCATGATGTAATGGCTTTAGCATGACATGGGAGCAGCAATTTTCTTGAAAATGTGACGTACCAGGGGTAGTTGTACGGCTCGGTGTAAAAATGTCAGTGGAAAAAATGTCAGAGGTAAAAATGTCAGAGGTAAAAATGTCAGAGGTAAAAATGTCAGAGGTAAAAATGTCAGAGGTAAAAATGTCAGAGGAAAAAATGTCAGAGGTAAAAATGTCAGAGGTAAAAATGTCAGAGGTAAAAATGTCAGAGGTAAAAATGTCAGAGGAAAAAATGTCAGAGGTAAAAATGTCAGAGGAAAAAATGTCAGAGGTAAAAATGTCAGAGTTTAAAATGTCAGATGTAAAAATGTTAGAGGTAAAAATGTCAGAGGTAAAAATGTCAGAGGAAAAAATGTCAGAGGTAAAAATGTCAGAGGTAAAAATGTCAGAGGTAAAAATCGTCCTTGTTTTCACGAAGTGACGGTAGTGAGGAAAATCGTAACGCAAAGTGAATGCAATTCTTTTTCACTACCGTCACTTCGTGAAAACAGTGACGAAATGTCAGAGGAAAAAATGTCAGAGGTAAAAATGTCAGAGGTAAAAATGTCAGAGGTAAAAATGTCAGAGGAAAAAATGTCAGAGGTAAAAATGTCAGAGGTAAAAATGTCAGAGGTAAAAATGTCAGAGGAAAAAATGTCAGAGGTAAAAATGTCAGAGGTAAAAATGTCAGAGGTAAAAATGTCAGAGGAAAAAATGTCAGAGGTAAAAATGTCAGAGGTAAAAATGTCAGAGTTTAAAATAAAAACAAAAGCATGTGACAAGTTTGTTATGTTTACACCCGGGTTATATATCAGGCTTATCGAAAAAGAACAGCGAGGGATATTCTGCAGTCGTTATTTCACCGCTGTCTTATTGTATTGTATTAGTTAAGTCTTATTTTGAGCGTATACCAAGGTTGTAGTCTTGTAGAGGAATCATGTACTTTGAAGAATGCTATCAGTTGTCTGATGACCGCTTGCAAGGCGTGAAACTCGGACTACACCATCCATGTCCCATTAGTCTGCCTTATTCAATATTTATATACCGGTATATTATGTTTTTGTATAAGCAAATGGTACTGGTACACTGAGCAAACTTCTGGGGAAAAAGATTTCTAAAATCGAGAAGTTTGGCCATGTTTTATAGGCTGAGTTGTCCCTCCATGGTGTAATCATTAAATAAAAAGAAAAGTCAGTACAGCCCCCAAAATAGGATCAGATATCTATGAACCTTCCCCCTCCTACTTCTCCTTCATATTTGAAGATTGTTGGACATTTTAACTGCGTGGCAATGTCTACTATTATATGTAATTTCCAATAAATGCATATTTCCGACAATTCCACTTTCTTGAGGGCTTGGTATTTTGATACTCTGAAACAAGCAGAAAGCCATGTTATCAATGCTAACCGCACCATCACATTCCCGAAGTGCGCACGTTGCAATAAAATATTGTCGATTACTATTAGTCTGGGAGAAAATCAATAATCAACAAAGCAGAAAGCCGCCCATGTTACATCAATTAAAGAGAAGGTTGAGTTCTGGGGAAAGGTAAAAAAAATTATTTGTGAGCGTTCAATGCAAGTGTGATAGAACATCAAAGAAAAAAGTTATTCTCTGAAAATCTATTTTAAATGACTTCATATCCCAGATATAACAAGTAACATCTTTGTATGCCTGCCCGATTTGTATGCCATATGTTTGTGTAGTCCCATATCAATATCTTTCTGTGTACAGTGCTTGTTACTTTACCAAGACTGGGCAATTTTTTTTATCATTTTGATGACTCCAAAACCTTGCACTACACACCAATACTTACATGTTTATGCTAGATGATTAACCTTCTCTGATTGCTTCCACAAAAAAAAAAAATTTCAAAATCTATTTTCCACATTATATTATCCTAAGGACATGTACGATATACAACACATCCATTTAGAAAGGAATATAATAGACTAGCCCATGCAGTAGCTGTACGTCTTGACATTCTAATTCAATGAAAAAACCTTTACTTTTCAATCAGGGAAAATCATAGCTAAGAAGGAAAACATTATATTTGGTGAAAAATATATAACAGGGGAAAATTGTAACTACACGTAATTAATTTAACAATACTAAAATATAGCAGTTGACAAGTCAATTTCACTTAGGCGAAACCTTTACCCCAGAAAAGCATCAACTTATTTACGCAATTTGGGGTTCTGGTAATTGAAGTACAAAGGATAATATCATGTGAAGGATATGCTTCATCACTACAAACAACTGGGAAGGAAGCATCTATACATTTGATACTACTTGATAATCGACGTCACATAGTACGTAACGTCATCAAGAAAATAGCGATGCCCGTGCTGAGAAGCTGTACATCATTCTTGCATCAAGCCTTTCCTCCACCCTTTGGTAGGGAATCTTGTAGATTAATGAGTACAACAAATCTCTCAGAATAACTAAATTTATTTCTGTGGATGAGGTCTCCTTGAACTTTTACATTTTTACCGAGTTGCCATACACTTCGGGATGTGACTTTATGATGCTTCTTCCTTCGCAGTCTTGTTGTGGTATTTGAGGAACGTTCGAACTCCACGACGGCCTTGCTGTTTGCGTGAATAGGAAAGGGGAATATATATAGAGAGACATACAGACAGACAGAAAGAATGAGAGGGGGAGATAGAGAGAATGAGAGAAAGAGAGAGAGAGAGAATGAATGCAACATGTTGTCAAAGGAGAGATAACGACCAAAGACAGAAAATTGCAAAACATCTTCAGAGTATTCCCGTACGATATCTGAATTTTATCCAGTTACAGACAAAAACAAAATCTCTTCATTTGACAATATTATTGTAACGATATTAATTATTTAAAAATAATATCCAACAAAACAAAAAACTCAGGAATATTAAATCAAATTGTTATTAAATGGTATTACAGATTTGATACCTTCATACGCGTTCGTGAATATTTCCAGGGTACATGCTTTGCGAGTAAAAATTATTTTATATTAGACTATTTGGGATAAAACATGGGAAATACCTAATTTAATCAAACCCTCAATTATAATCTTTTCAGCTTTTTACTACACAGTAATAACCGGAACATATTGATTACATAGAGATTCACAAGTGTACTCTGGTTCAATATCAAACGCCTAAACCTACTAAAGCTATGAATCAATTCAACCAATTACTCCTGACGTAGGTGGACGAATAATACAAGCAGTAAACAGCAAACCAACAGAAGATTATGATACCGTGGGGCGATGGTCCATAGTTGTACATTCAATTTGCAATGGGCACCAACCCCAACCCCACCCACCTCCAAATGGATAATTATGTGATTTAAAGTAGAATTATAGAAGTGTGAAATGAGGACTGGAAAAATTGTGAGGCAGTCCAACAATTGGTGTATTTCAAATGGTAGCCGCAGGTATGTTCACAATGAAATTTTCTTTTAAGTTTTCGAAATTGTATGAAAGTAAAATTTAGATATGTACCATCTTTATTTTGTTCAGTATTCATAACAAATTTAGTACAAGAAGAGTAAGTACCTCTACTAAGAAATCCAGGTCCTCTGTCTCTGGGCTGAAGTCCATGGATTTCACATAGACAGTGTTGATGAGTACCGTACGCTCAATGTCATGGCCCTGTAGTCCCAATGTTTAATAAGTGGAAGAAAAGTGCAGAAAAAGATCGCATAGACCTTCGATAAATCAACTTAATGGCTGTTTTGTTTTTGTTTATAGTCCCGAAGAAATCATATTCAGATTACGTTCTACACTGCCAACAATTTATTTCAACATTTGGTGGACAAGGTTGTTGAAAATAAAAGTCTTTGCGATCGGCTTTAGGGGAAAAAGATTGATCAAGCTCTTATAAGAGATGAGTGGGGTGAAGATTAAAAGGGGAAACATACACACGGATACAACACGTACTTCCGAATCCACCTCCCCGACGCACCCTCGAATAATCGTCAAACTTTGGCTTTGTTCATACTAACAAAATAAAAATATGATGATTTTTTTCCCAATTTGTTGAAGAAATGTTAAATTGAAATCACAACTATTTTTTCTATTTTCCCATGGAAAGTTCTCACTGCTATAAAGTGTCATATGGAAAATGTTGTCCAACCCCCGCATATGTTCTTTCATACCTCATGAGATAATGCTGGTCAGTCACACTGAAAAATTAACTGCAGATCGGCTGATTCTTGTTCATTTGGGGGTAATGTAATAGTTTGTTCTGTATGTGTAGGTCTCTGGTGGTGACCTCGTCGATGTGACTTAAGCATCAAGCACAAGTAGACATTTAGTTATACATCAGTGAGTCATTTCGCCAGACGGAATCCACATCGACCTATTCTTAGCTGTTTAGGGTAATGATAATATGTTCCTTGTGTCGGTCTTTTTGGTGGAACTGAGGTTTTGTCCACACTGCCAAGACGACTCTAAACTCTTGGCCGCTCGAGCTGGGCAATGTTATTTTTTGTTCGGTCTGATGTCGTCGTGGGTTCTAGGACACCTACCCCCTGGACATCCAACCTCCGGATAACCACCCCCAGTCAACTACCCCCTAGGACAACTACCCCCAGACAACTACTCCCTAGGACAAGTACCCCGGACAACTACCCCCTTGGACACCTACCCTAGGACAACTACCCCCGGATCTACCCCGCGGACAACTACCCCCCTGGCAACTACCCTCTACGACAACCATCCTCTAGGACAACTACCCCACAGTCCGGGGTAGTTGTCCTAGAGGATGGTTGTCGTAGGGGGTAGTTGCCTGGGGGGTAGTTGTCCGGGGTACTTGCCCTAGGGATAGTTTCTGGGGGTAGTTGTCCGGGGTGTAGTCGTCCTAGAGGGTCGTTGCCCTAGGGGGTAGTTGTCCTTGGGGGTAGTTGACTGGGGGTAGTTGACTGGGGTGGTTATCCGGGATGGATGTCCAGGGGGTAGGTGTCCAGATACGGTCGGCGCGACCTCTGTCTCATTGTGTGACCAAGATATTTCATCTCAGTCCCACCACCACCAATCCGACACAAGATGGACACCAATCCGAACAATGTGGGCCATTGCAGGTAATGTTATCGTCCGTTCGGTATGAAATCAGTCAAGCAAGATTCAGTTGTGTTGGTGTGACTGCAAGTAGCAGGGAGGAATATTAGTTTGTAACAAAACAACTGACCTCTAGGAAAGCTCTTTTGACGTTCAGCAGTAGCATGCTGAAGATTCCAGTGAGATAATCTGCTACGTTCTTGATATCAAGCCGCCCCGTTCCAATATGATGAGTCTGGATTCCTACTCCCTCATTCTGCGCTAAGGACATTAGCTCATTGAAGTCAATCTACATGTCAAACAAAATGACATAAATCAGTAGTTCTTTTTTCTCTTTTGCATTATATACCTCACTTAAGCTGCGATAAACAAATGCGCTTTTTTAACGATGTAAATTGCAATATGCTATATGTTTCCTAGCTTTAAGTGAAAACGTACAGGGACCTCCTTGCCATTCATTACACATAAGAGAACAATAATAAGCAGCAGCCCTTTTTTGTTTTTTGCGTTTTACCGTGTCATATCTAAAAAAGCTATTAAACCGTCAAACCAACTCCTTTCCGACCGACCTACACAAATAAGGGCTAATGTAAATGATTGTTCGGTCTCGTATAGGTGTAACCGAGATTTTACTCCGGCCATCACGAGCTGCCCTATTTTTTAATTTCATTTAACAGATATTTCTTTCACCTTCTAAGGAGGGACTTTCCTGGTAACTACCCAATAAGATTTCAAATCTTTTAGATTTTACATTAAAATTTTGAGTAAATGTTGCATTACTGTATATAAGAAGGTACTGGAAAACTACAAATCTAAACATTATTTTTTTTGTCCTGCATAGCAATTGAAAGAAATTTGAGAGTAGGTCTAAAATGAAACGCAGTACGATGAGGAAAATGTGAAGAGAGCGGGACACTGGTATACAATTTGATGTTAAAGAGAGTATCAATTAAAAATTATTCTAAGTTAACCCATCGGTTATGGAAACCGAGTGATCACGGTATTCAGGTTATGTGAATGAGATCATTCTGAAGTCAAAGGGGTTAAGAAAAGGATGTACCTCTCCGTCGGAGTTGGCATCAAGGCTGTCAAATATTTCATCGACAGTCATATTTTCTCCGAACAGAATGCGAGCTTGGTCAGGTGTAAACTCCTCATTCTATCATGAGAAGAAAAGAGAAGAAAATATCAAAAATCGAAACTAAACGGAAACAGAATTACATGCGGCTTAGAACAAAGGATTTAGAAATTAGCTTATGAAAGGGTAAGCTGTCAGAAAGATGATAATTTTATCATTGTACAAAAAATATCTGGTTAAAATTACACTAACAATTGGCCTATCGAGTGAGAGCACTATAAAAAAAGGTGGTTACGACAGTAAATGCGCTTACATCATATAGAGGTATATAATTCCAGTGTCAGACTTTATATATAAGTGGGAGTATGAATCTCTGTAATATATATATGGTTTAAGAATAAAGACGTGGTTTATTTGAATAGTTTCCAATGTAATCTCTCCTTCACTTTTACAATTTTTTAGTCGGTCCTTGATTAGACGATTAGATATTTTAAAGTTAAAGACGATACGTACATTTTATAAATGTAATGCTTCCTGGGAGAAATTTCAATTATGAGCCGTGAAGATCATGCAGCTCTCACTAAGGAGCTACTCTGTTGATATGAAACAAAGAGCACTTATCATTCTGTGGTGAACATTTTTAATTTTCCTCATGCACTTTGGTATATCGTGTGATGTATCGTGATACGTACATTGTTGAAGACTTGCTTGAACGCGTTGATATTAATCGTAGTATCTCCGATACTATTTTGATCCAGAACCTTCAGAAATTGGGTCATGGCGTCTGTCACCAGGCGATGCTGTTTACAGTTCAAATCTCGCTTCTGTTTTATTTTTTCGTGAGCTCTAGATGAGGCCAATTAAAGGCGATACGAATGGTTAGATACATATCAAATAATCATACAAGAAACAAAAAAGTCATACTCGTTTGACATGCGTTGGACAGAAATCAATAATAATAATATAGAAGTCTTTTAGCGCTTTACAGATTAGCTCTCTGTAATAAGAAAGATGACTTGATATCTGATACCTATAGCCTGCCGAGAGTAATTTAAAATGTCTCTATACGCTCCCATTAAAGTATAAGTCATGTAGGCATGCTAAAAACGAGGAGAGAGATATATCGTATGTAAACAAATAAATGTTCATTGTTATCCATTTTACAAGGTTTTAGACAATTCGAGTTCTTTAACAATAACAACATTCATATAACACTTAATACTAGAGTCACCAGGCGTTGTAATGTTACTAACCAAAATGTTACTAGCCAAACTGCAAGAGAAGGCGCTCTGGCATTCGAGGAATTTTTCCCTACCGGATTCTCATTTACATCACCCGGGTAGAGGGTGACACATAGAGATCATGTATATATTGCCAAAGGACATTGGTGCCGCGGCGGGACTCGAACCTCGAACCATGTAATCCACAGTCCGATGAAAATTCGCAATGGACACGATAATATCCTATGTATACTGTCCGTCAACTTACCTGGCAAGTTTTGTATCTGGTATAGGTGCAATGGGGGCTTCTAAATCTGGATTGGTAGCCAGTACATGGGAGTCGTAATCACTGTACTGTTGGAAGAAGAGCAAAATACAATTTAGTTAGTTACACAGTTAGTTTGATCTCAAGCTAGGTCGGGACAACTTGCGAAGGCAACCTAAATGTAATTGAGAGGGCCTGACTCCAAAGATTAGAAACATTAAAAGTATCTGATCGAAAATATCCCCTATTTTAACAAGCATCGCATCCCTTCCGTTGTTCAACTTAAAAAATCGCCTCTGTCATTATATTTCAACCCTGGCGTGCGGCCTCGGTTAAATCTTACATAACTCTTGAAATTGTAAATGTGTCGGTTGAAATTATTTGTTATATTGAATGCCGGAGCATGAACTTACGATGATCATGCCAAAGGTTTTGTCGTTGAACATTCCAAACCTCTCCTTCTTTGTGAGGAGTTTGGCTGCATCCTCCAAAGGTTGCATCTTCTTCAGGAGAGCATCTTCAGGTTTCATAGAAAGCCACCACCCTATCAAAGCAGACAAAGAAGAGGTTCTTGTTTCATGAAACTTGTTATGAATAACAACTTACAATACATTCTATAATCGAATTATATGAAGCAATGTATATGTACAAGTAAATATACATTTGAGCATCTAGCGGTTTCTGATACTTTGTATTTATGATATTGACGTTATTCAAATCTCCTTTTATTATATCACGTTCTTTTTCCTCTTCCTTCACGCTCTCCCTTCTCTCCCACCTCTCTTTTTTGCCATTCGATTTTTGGAGCACATGCCCCCGTGCTCCCACCCCGCCCCCATAGCTACGCCACTGTTCGTTGCTACTCTTCGATATTCAACATTATTAATGATTATCAAAGCAGACAAAGAAGAGGTTCTTGTTTCATGAAACTTGTTATGAATAACAACTTACAATACATTCTATAATCGAATTATATGAAGCAATGTATATGTACAAGTAAATATACATTTGAGCATCTAGCGGTTTCTGATACTTTGTATTTATGATATTGACGTTATTCAAATCTCCTTTTATTATATCACGTTCTTTTTCCTCTTCCTTCACGCTCTCCCTTCTCTCCCACCTCTCTTTTTTGCCATTCGATTTTTGGAGCACATGCCCCCGTGCTCCCACCCCGCCCCCATAGCTACGCCACTGTTCGTTGCTACTCTTCGATATTCAACATTATTAATGATTATCAAAGCAGACAAAGAAGAGGTTCTTGTTTCATGAAACTTGTTATGAATAACAACTTACAATACATTCTATAATCGAATTATATGAAGCAATGTATATGTACAAGTAAATATACATTTGAGCATCTAGCGGTTTCTGATACTTTGTATTTATGATATTGACGTTATTCAAATCTCCTTTTATTATATCACGTTCTTTTTCCTCTTCCTTCACGCTCTCCCTTCTCTCCCACCTCTCTTTTTTGCCATTCGATTTTTGGAGCACATGCCCCCGTGCTCCCACCCCGCCCCCATAGCTACGCCACTGTTCGTTGCTACTCTTCGATATTCAACATTATTAATGATTATCAAAGCAGACAAAGAAGAGGTTCTTGTTTCATGAAACTTGTTATGAATAACAACTTACAATACATTCTATAATCGAATTATATGAAGCAATGTATATGTACAAGTAAATATACATTTGAGCATCTAGCGGTTTCTGATACTTTGTATTTATGATATTGACGTTATTCAAATCTCCTTTTATTATATCACGTTCTTTTTCCTCTTCCTTCACGCTCTCCCTTCTCTCCCACCTCTCTTTTTTGCCATTCGATTTTTGGAGCACATGCCCCCGTGCTCCCACCCCGCCCCCATAGCTACGCCACTGTTCGTTGCTACTCTTCGATATTCAACATTATTAATGATTATACTTACCATCGAAACAGTGAACTGGATAGTTGCACAAAACACCGCCGTCGATATAAAGATCGGTACGACCCAAGTATTGCCGCTTTACAGGAACGAAAACAACTGCGCAATAATAAGGTAAGAAACAACAACAACAACAAAACAAAACAATAGGGTGATGCAAATTTATTCATCTACTTTCACCATGTTCATGAGATATAAGGCTCGTTTAGATATGACACGTTGAATTATAACATATGGAAATAAGAAGCGTTTTACACGTTACTTCATCATTAAAAATATACGGTTTACCGCATCATACTTGAACGAGACTTTTAACGAATGAGGTTTATATAGGTCAATTACTAGACGTTGGTATAAACATGATCAACTGGAGTATTAAATATAATTACATCCCTCATACAGGAGACACGAAAACGTAGCATATAAGAGAGATTCACAATTGTACATTACTGTGAAACAATAGCACAGGGTATTTTGATAATAAGATTTACAGTTTGGAGCCCCCCCCCCCTACATAACAAAAAAAACAACAACACAATTGATGGCAAAATTTCACTTTAACTGTATCGTAATGTGAAAGATGATGTCCTTCAAGAGACATTTCTGCAAGGTTGTTCAAAACAAATGTGTTTGAAGTCGAATATTGATGCAAGAATGCAAAACTTAGGTTTTCTGCGTTCATGTTGATATTGTATTTCTTGAAAAATAAATCAGTGGATATATTTATTTGGTTTTGCATATCAACAGTTTTTAGAAGTTGTCGCGTAAATTCAAATGGTTTAGTTCTCACCTGGAGCAGACATAGACATCCTGACAGCTGTCCTTATTGGCATGTTGGGAGTGGTTTTGACGTGACAATATTCCTCCATCATCGTGGTAAGATTGGTAACCACCACGCATAGTTCTCTCCCCGTCTTAACATAAAGGTCCTATTAAAGGAAGCAAGGGACGAAAGAGTTGTTCGATTTTATAGCCGAGAAATTATTATAACTATCATTATAGAAACCAGAGATTTTTGTTTTTCTTGATCCTGAAAACAAAGTCTTGAATTCGTATTCTACAAAAAATTGACCCACTGCTGGGTTCAAGAAATGGATAAACTAGCGTCCCATAGTATAAACATGAAAATGCAAATCACTCATGTTTGCGAGTGCATTAGTGATTATACACTGCAGTTAGGTTATGTCACAGTCAGATAATGAAGAAGACTTGTCGAGCTCATTGTCCGTCTCGTTGTGGCTTAACCAGTGCACTACATAAAACCTGTACTATCTGTTTTTGTAAGACGGGTCAACAATATGAGTATTACATCGAGAAATTGACTACAAACCCGATCCAAAATATAAGAAGAGAAAAACAGAGTCGCGCAATCATGCAGGACGCCATTTGCTTTATTGGATGACGTCAAATCATGCAGTGCAATCAGCCAAACAATACAATTGTACAATGTGCGTCTCGGTGTGCGCATCACCATTGTAATGTCCTTGCCACATAATATAAGGGAGTTTTCGCAGGCTCAACGCGGACGGAGAATCTGCGGTTCGTGTGCAAAATCTAGAAGCTACTATAGTAACAGCGGAGTGACCGCGGAGGTCCTAGCGAGTTTTCGCTCAGAGACCGTCAGACCTTCTACGACGCAGGGGCACTGAGGGTTACGGTCGTCGCACACAGACCGCCCTCGTTACAATAAGCCGTTTCGCTTATCGGTGAACGCGTACGCATATTCCAGAGGTATTGTAATATAATTACAATAGGCAATTTTCGTAATGTAACCAAATGTAATGCATACTTCTTTGTGAAGTGCCTCGATACAAACTATTCCATTCACCTGAAAAGAATAATAGTACTTCAATAGACATAATCCAAACTTCATACATTAGTTGTTGCCATGTTTGACAAACATTAGGGAATTTTCGTCCTGGATTTCAGTACCTCATTGGTCACCCCGCTGTTACTATAGTAGCTTCTCGATTTTGCACACGAACCGCAGATTATCCGTCCGCGTTGAGCTTGCGAAAACCTACTACTGAAATCCAGAACAGTTTTTGGCCAAATTTACGGGCGTTCTCAATGACGTCCCAAGTGAATCAACAGCCAATCAGCGAGCTTGTACCAAAGATGTTTTATTACATGCGATGAGAACATCAGGGGACGAATTTCAACGCCAACGGCTCTTCGGTGAGTTTTTATTTCGATCATTGTTTCATAACTATAACGACAAGAATATGGATATAACATAAACTGTTTTAAAACTGAATAATGAATTGTTGAAATATGATGAAAAGCCGTTTTGTGGCTTGATCGAGTGAAGTCGTGTAGTCCCGTCTGTACTGTATTGCGTGGCAGGGCATTGGGGTTGTTGCGCGTTGCCGGTGACGTCAGCTCCTTCATACTATACGTACGCGTTCACCGAAAAGCGAAATCGCAGATTGTAACGAGGGCGGTCTGTGTGCGACGGCCGTTTTATTGAATGCTCCCGCGGCGTAGAAGGTCTTTCCGTCGCTGAGCTAGAACTCGCTATTAAATTAGGCCTACGCGTGCACAACTGCTTCTTTTAATACACCATGGTTGCCCCTCCGGTGACTTTATTTTGTCAAAAGTTTATGGTAAGGGCTTGGGTTTGCTTTTAGGTTTTTTGGGGTTAGATTTATAGTAGGGTACGGTTTATTGTTGAACCCAGTTAAGCCCACCGCAAATTATACGATCTTCATGCGATCCTATTTTTCGAAGAAATGGCACCAACATTAGATATATAGATTTACAAAAAAATACACACAACAGCAATCACCTTCTTGATTCAGGTTCTAAAACTGAATTGGCATCAAATTGAGCCGAAGTAGCCTTTTCTCCTCCAAGCAAGCTTGAAATCCGTTTAAATTTAAATTTAAATCATATGAACATTCAGATCATCAATAATTAGGATCTTAGAATTTGAATGCTCTAATCAAATGCAACTGCAAATTCTTCAAAAATCGGATCATAGTCAGATCGGATAGTATGTGGTGGACTTTTAAGGAATTTAGAAATGATCATAGATCAATTGTCGAAGGAACACGTATCGTACAACGGCCGACTTACCTTGAATGTGGCGTTTGGGTCTCCTAGCTTCTCAGCAATGTTCTCACCGAAAGACTGATAGGCGGTTCTTCCGGGATGCCATCCCATGTACCTAAACAGGTTGGGCACCAGGCTGCATTTTCCACAAGGTGCGTCTTCAATAAGAGAAACCACGTGAGGAGGAATACAAAATGAGTATATTGTGATTGTTTATTTTGTCGTTGTCACTTATTATGACGTGATGTGTTTAAATTATCTTGCGGATCACGCACATCGACCACTCATTAACCAACTCAGGAAATTCTAGAAAACGAAAAATACATGCAGTGCTGCACTTATAGGAGAAGATCGTAGTGTCTTTTGGTCATGTTTCCCTTCCGGTCCCCCACTTCTCTTTTCCCCTTGTGTCTTGCTGTTTCTACTTCCATTTGATGGTGGGGGGGGGGGGGCATAATCCCATGTGCCCCTGTAGCTATACCACTGCCTATTTTATCACTATTATATATTTCCCTAGAATCGATTCGATTTTATTTTATATTTGTTTATCTTACACGACCGCAAATACGTTCGGGGTGTTAACAGGGGGGGGGGGGGGCATTGTTGGAACAACGCAACACGTCACTGTAATGTTCCCAAACATCCTCCGGAAAATGCCGGACTAGGCTATTGAAACTGCTTGAAGTTGATTTCTCGAAAGTCTTTGCGATCGCACGTGTAGATACTCTAATTTGTTTCTCACCTAAGAGGTCGTTGAATTGAGGTCCATCTTTTATCATTGAGAGAAATTTGTTGGTCCCGTGGCCTACGGCGAGATAAGCAGCTGTCAGCGAACCAACGCTGGAACCAGCGAAACGACGAATCTTGCTCAAGAAGTTAAGTCGCTCCAACTCCTATTTGATACAAAGAATTAAAGAGCGTGCAGGAAATCTGATAACATTAGCAATAGTTTGTCGGCATTTATGGGTCATTTTAAAAGAATTTCAACACTTGTCCAATTTTCGTCAAATTTCGTTCGAATTCGTCTCACCCGGAGATCCGCTGCAGAATGTAACAGTCGAATTCGTCTTTGTAAGATCAATACCAAGGAAGTTTCATTAAAATCCATCGCATAGACAAGACGAGTGACGAATTCGAATGACGCTTTGACGACGTCGATTGCAAAATGACGCAATTTTCCGTTGGCAGCCGGGGATGACGAGATCAATTTGACTTTAACGAAATTGGATACAAAATTATGAAATTGATTAGAAAATGAATTATCAATGACGAAATAGACTATGAGACGTGCAAAATTAGGAAGCTTTCGGACGAAATAAAATTACAAGAGTACTGATTGAAACAAAGTGTTAAAATGGACAGGAAAACCTAATAGTAGTAGTACTAGTAGTATAGTACTGGTAGAGGTAGTTCTATAGTAGCAGGAATATTTAATCGCTTCTCACCATTATGGCGCCAATATAAGCATTTCCCTGGCTGCCACCGCCTTCCAAAACGAGGTTCTCATACGGGAAATCAACATCGTCAATGTCTTCAGCAATACTCGACGACGCAATTTCCTGAAATCCGTTCACAGATTGTTTTGGTTGATCGGTCGTAGTTGATGCGTCAACTTCGTCTAATTCTTTTAGAGCAGTGAGTCTCCTCCTGGATCTGGTAGTGAATTAGGATGAGAACAGATTTTTGTAAAGCCCTAAAAAAGTTTGTCGTGGTTTGAAAAAAAACACAGCAGCAGCAGCAATAACAACAGCAACAACAACAACAACAACAGCAACAATAGGGCAACAAATATTGATAACATGATAGCTGAACAAATGTATTTTTTTGTCATCTCAAGATTAATATTAAAAAACTTTCAATTTTCGAGACATGTTAAGATTGCAATCGACATATAGTTAAACCAGGGACTTGGGATCATAGCTAGTAGAGTCGGGATAGTTATGTCACCGGAATGACCTGGCTGGAATGCTCCCCAGGGAGTGGAGTATGTGCATACACTATGTGCGTGCGGGCAAGCCTAAATCCGATGACCGGGATAATAATACATCTGTAAAGCGCTAAGAGACATCGTGTATGTACAAATAAACGAACAAATGAACAAACAAAGAGAGAATAGATCATTATTTGTCTATCTAAAGGGAAAGGATACATTTGTGATATTATTAGCCCATGCAAATTATCATAGCGTTTTAAAACCAAGCATCTACCTACTTTGATGTTTGGACTATAGTGTTTTTATGGCAATCCTTTTCAAGTATAGTTTTCTTACTTATCAAATTCTGCCATATAGTTGCCATACCAACATAATGTTCTCGCACAAATAAATCTTTAAAATACCACGGTTTTGATTATAATCAAACTTTTAGCATCATTTTACTTTAGTAATATATCAAATATCAAATTCCGCCATATAGTTGCCATACCAACATAATGTTCTTGCACAAATAAAACTTTAAAAGACCATGGTTTTGATCATAATCAAACTTTTAGCATCATTTTACTTTAGTAATATATGTTTTTTTCAGTTTCTAATTTGAAATATTTGTTATTTTCTTAAATTCTCTGTAACCATTGCAACCACCAAAAAGGTGAGCATAACCCTAACTGAGAAGCAGGCGCGGATCCAGGGGGGGGAGCCGAGCGGGCCTTGCCCCCCCCCCCGCAAAAAAAAAGAAAAAAAAAGGAGAAAGAGAGAAGGAAAGAAGGGAAAGGGAAAGAGGAGAGAAAGGGAAAAAAAGAAGAGGAAGAAGAAAAGAAAAGAGGGAAGAAGTAAATCGGGGGGGGGGGGGCAAAAGGACTTGTCTTCCAGGCTGTTGCCCCCCCCCCAATCAAAAAATAAAAGAGAAGGAAGGAAAGGGAAAGAAAAAAGGAAAAGAGGAGATACAAGAAAGGAAAAAAGAGGAAGAAGAAAAGAAAAAAAGGGGATAACGACACAACAAATCGTCTTCTTTCTCTAATGATTTAATGAAACGTAAGCTTCCGCTTAGCGCGGGAGGGGGAAAAATCAATTCAGACGAGGATTATTTTTTGGGAACGGTACAACAAATCGTCTTCTTTCTCTAATAATTTATTGAAATGTCAAAGCTTCCGCGTTTCGCGGAGGAGGGAGGGGGAAACTCGCCCCTCCCTGCACCCACCCACCCCCAATTACGTCACTGCTGGTCACCATTACGAACCAATATTTGGCTCACATGATTTCAAATTTTGCCCCCCCCCCCTAAGAAATCCTGGATCCGCGCCTGATGTATATACAACGGCAACAGTTTCAATATAAAATGTAAGTTCTTCTTACTTAAATCATTGGTCTGGAAACAATTATTTGCCCATTGTTGTGTATTGTATTACATTTTCACTGACAATGAATTCACATTGTAATGCAATTTTCAAGTTTCCCAGGAGGGGAACAGAAGATTGATATTGTTTAGTTGTACGATAACATCACTCAGTTTGATTTGATTTGATTGGAGATATATCTCATTAAAAACAGAGTAAAGGCTATACAGTTTCAAAAAAACCTACACCATTAAACATCAAGCTCACTCACACATGATTTATTGCGACACTTTCAAGGCTACTTATTATTTCAAGTTCATGTATATACAAAGGGCAACAGCTTTAATATTAAACGTTATGAAATCAATGGTCTGGAAAATGTTAATGCCCATCGTTGTATATTATACAATATTTTCCATAACGATGAATATACATTGTATAATGCAATTTTCAGGAAAACCATACTTGTCATTACTGTTATATTTGTTATATGATACTAAAGCAAATCGTTTCACTTATCGATAAGATAAATCAATGTGAAGTACGTGTCAAATAATGAAATCATTACGTGCTATTTTTAACCGGACTAGACATTTGAAACGTATACAAAATATATACACTATTGACAGCAAGCAAGGTTTTTAAACAAAGAATTCAGAAATTGAACAACATTGCACATTTTAGTCTACACGGCATGCTCTACACCCTTAGTTGGACTGTAAACAGTTGTCTTCTTTTCACCCTTTTCTTTTCTTCTTCCTCTTTTTTTGTTCCTTTTTAGCTCTCCTATTTCCCTTTTCCTTCTTTCTCTCTTTGTTATAACGGGAGCGGGGGGAGGTAAGGGCCCTTTGCCCCTCCTCGATCCACCGGCGGGATAATTGCAAATGATATCCCCTTTCTTTTCTTTTCTTCCTTTTCCTTCCCTTTATCTCTTCTTTCCCTTTCCTTCCTTCTCTCTTATTTTTTTATTGGAGGGGGGGGGGGGGTGCAACAGCCTGGGAGGCAAGGCCCTTTCGCCCCCCCCCGATCTCCTTCTTCACCCGTTTCTTTTCTTCTTCCTCTTCTTTCTTCTGGCGCTACACCTTTTACAAAAACAAAATGCAAAAATATCCAAAAAGAGAGGACTGCAATGGGGAACTTTGATTTAAGCTACGCGACCATTATTCTCTCATTTCCTTTCACATTGTATCTCATAACCATGAGAATTGCCAAGCTATTCTATACGTTATTTCGTTACACGAACACACACAAACACACTCACACACACACGCACACACACACACATAACCTGCACGAGTCTACAAGGTGTGAGAAAACTCTGATTCAGGAAAGAATGCAAGGGTGAAAGTAAAAGCGAAAAAGGTGGACACTCTCACATGGCTTCCATGGATGCCGTCTTTGTTCTCTTTTTGCCTTCTTCTTACTCCTTGACCGTTCACGCATATTTTTTTTTTAGCCATATATAGTACATGTGCAAGCACGTATACCCAGGGAAGAGAAGGTAATAGAAAAGGGAAAACAAAAAAATACATAAGGAGAGTGCAGAGGATATGGAGAAAGAAAGACAAAGAAATACATAAGAAATACATAACGGAAGGGCTTTTAGGCACCAAATTACGCATCTAGGGACCCGCCTTAGGCCCCTTGGTTGAGTCCAGAGGGCAGAGCCCCCGAAAGCTCAAGGACTTTAGGCATTTAATTATGGCCAGATGAGCAAACAGGGGCCTGCTTAGGGCCCTTGGTGGGTTCCAGGGGGTAGAGCCCCCGGGAGCTCATGGAAAAATACTGCTATTTTAGCAATACTTGTAAATCACTGGTATCAAATTAAAAATAACCCATGTTTAAATTGTATTGGGGGGGGGGGGGGGTTACTGCCCCCCCCATCAGTACGCCAGTGAAAGAGGCGGAGGTGACGGAAGGGACTACCCCCATAAAGCTGTATGATAAGTCTTATATGTAAACCCCTCACAGGTTTTTGAAGTTTTGTTGTGTTACAAAATTACATTCTTTAGCAAAACTACAGCATAAAAACAAGCAATATACTTTTTTCACGTTTCACTTTTACTTTGCCGATATATAGTGTTTAGTCCGAAGGGTTGTAAATATTTACTAGGTAAATTTTAGGAAGTACTGAGCAGGAAGGGACTTCTTAAAAGAGCGAGCTGAATATTCATTTTTGGAACACTGATCTATTTCTATAACTTTTAATCTTGTTAACATACAGTGTAATTTGTACATACGTGATACAAACAGAATACATATTTTCTTCAATATTTACTTGTATATTTTTATGGTATTTTGCGAAGGAGCGTAGCGACCGAGCGAGAAGATTTTAGCATATCTATTAGTCTAAACGATGTACTCTTGGGCCCACCAGAGCCTTAAAGCGTGTTGCAGTCTTTAGTCAGTATTTGCTATACATTTTGTTGGTGTGCACTTTTTCAAATTATCCATGGGGGGCGATCCCCCTTTAGAAAATTGAAGGAACACGTGTACCCCGTCCTTCCATCTATTTTGTGTTTTGCTAAAAAAAACTATCCACAAAAAAGGACTATGTATGCCCCTTTTGTAAAGCGACCTATCAATATTAATGTTCACATATCAGTCCTATTTTGGATTTCCCTCCTCCCGTCCCCCCCCCCCCCAAGAAAAAATAGTATCACATTGTTACATGTCTGCACAATATATATTGATGTGTCAACCTTACGAAAGTGGTGTTTTCATAATGATTATTGACCTCCTTTTAATTTATATTTATATGGAAGACTTAAAAAGACAACTATTTACAGTCCAACTAAGGGTGTAGAGCATGCCGTGTAGACTAAAATGTGCAATGTTGTTCAATTTCTGAATTCTTTGTTTAAACAACTTGCTTGCTGTCAATAGTGTATATATTTTTTATACGTTTCAAATGTCTAGTCCGGTTAAAAATAGCACGTAATGATTTCATTATTTGACACGTACTTCACATTGATTTATCTTATCGATAAGCGAAACGATTTGCTTTAGTATCATATAACAAATATAACAGTAATGACAAGTATGGTTTTCCTGAAAATTGCATTATACAATGTATATTCATCGTTATGGAAAATATTGTATAATATACAACGATGGGCATTAACATTTTCCAGACCATTAATTTCATAACGCTTAATATTAAAGCTGTTGCCCTTTGTATATACATGAACTTGAAATAATAAGTAGCCTTGAAAGTGTCGCAATAAATCATGTGTGAGTGAGCTTGATGTTTAATGGTGTAGGTTTTTTTGAAACTGTATAGCCTTTACTCTGTTTTTAATGAGATATATCTCCAATCAAATCAAATCAAACTGAGTGATGTTATCGTACAACTGAACAATCTCAATCTTCTGTTCCCCTCCTGGGAAACTTGAAAATTGCATTACAATGTGAATTCATTGTCAGTGAAAATGTAATACAATACACAACAATGGGCAAATAATTGTTTCCAGACCAATGATTTAAGTAAGAAGAACTTACATTTTATATTGAAACTGTTGCCGTTGTATATACATCAGGCGCGGATCCAGGATTTCTTAGGGGGGGGGGGGCAAAATTTGAAATCATGTGAGCCAAATATTGGTTCGTAATGGTGACCAGCAGTGACGTAATTGGGGGTGGGTGGGTGCAGGGAGGGGCGAGTTTCCCCCTCCCTCCTCCGCAAAACGCGGAAGCTTTGACATTTCAATAAATTATTAGAGAAAGAAGACGATTTGTTGTACCGTTCCCAAAAAATAATCCTCGTCTGAATTGATTTTTCCCCCTCCCGCGCTAAGCAGAAGATTACGTTTCATTCAATCATTAGAGAAAGAAGACGATTTGTTGTGTCGTTATCCCCTTTTTTTCTTTTCTTCTTCCTCTTTTTTCCTTACTTGTATCTCCTCTTTTCCTTTTTTCTTTCCCTTTCCTTCCTTCTCTTTTATTTTTTGATTGGGGGGGGGGGGGGCAACAGCCTGGAAAGCAAGTCCTTTTGCCCTCCCCCCGATCTACTTCTTCCCTCTTTTCTTTTCTTCTTCCTCTTCTTTTTTTCCCTTTCTCTCCTCTTTCCCTTTCCCTTCTTTCCCTCTCTCTCTCTCCTTTTTTTTGGCGGCCCCCCCCCCTGGATCCGCGCCTGCTGTCAGTTTCATGGTGTCATAGTCACAAGAAGAAAAAAATCAAAGAATAAAAAGAAGAAAATGGAAATAACAAGAATAATTCCGAATAGAAAAAAATAAAGAAATCTTTTTGAAGTCGGTGTATAGCGTCTTTTTTTTCTCGGTGCAAATAGGGTATTACCAGCAACAGATCAGCCTCCTAAATACATACATGTATATTTATCTATTGACACTGTCTAACGGACCATAACGTTTTTGAATACCATCGTTTTCCCATTGTATTGATGTTGACTTACTTACCTTTAGAGGTTGGCTTGACAATATACTGACATTTTTGTATGGCAAGGCCATTTTATTCATGTAATCTGACATCTACTCTTTAAGGTTCTATTTCATAACAAGCTCATTATGGTGTGCTGTATCATGTTCATGCTATTTTATGACCTTGTTTGAATTCACATTCTCTCAGTTTCATGGTGCCATTTCATGGATCGATAATCGCAAGAAGAAAACATGAAAGAAGAATAAGAAGAAAACGGAGGATAACCCAGAATAGACAAAAATAAAGCAATCTTTTTGAAGTCGGTGTAGGGTCAGTTCTTCGGTGCAACTAGGGTATTACCAACAACAGGTCAGCCCCTATATACATACATATGTACATCCATTGTCTGTGTCTAACGGACCATAACATTTTTGTATACCATCGTTTTCCCATTTTCCCATTTATTATTATTAATCTCGACTTACTCTACAATGCCAGCAGGTGCTTCAATACCTGTAGATATTGGCTTGACAATAATAAGAGATTGTATGACAAGGCCAATTTCTCATATCCATCCAACCTGACACCTACTTTTTTAATTTCTATTTCATAACAAGCTCATTATGGTGTGCTGTGTCATTTCCATGCCAATCTATGGCATCGTTTTACATTCTTATTCTGTTAATTTTATGGTCCCATGGTTCCACAATCACAGCCCAAGCAAAGTAGCGTAAGAAGGATTGTACGAAGTGAATGACTAAATTCCATGAAATTAGAAAGACACGTACATGAGTGATAATACGGCTGACCTACACAATATATATTCCACAATCAATCCTATTCATAGTGCCCTTTACTCACCTTTCATGTAATGGATGCACTTAGCAAGAGTACAAAGTTGTCGTTTATATTGAGTTCTATTAATTAATTAAACTTTATGTTTTTTTTAAAAAAAAATCGCTAATTTGGTCTACTCTTCACTTTCCCAAGGGTATAGCTATAATCATTATAAACAATAATTATAATAATTAAACCTTTTTGTATAGCGCACAACACAGAGAATAGGATACAGATAGAGTGGAAATGGTGCACTGGGTTCATGATTGTGAGATCTTACAAAGTGGTAAATAGATATGTTTCAAATAACTTCTGAGCTTGCCATACGTTTCTAAATTTCTAAATACTGGCGTTCATGTGGGCCCTGCAGTCGCTATAACCCCATTATTGTCATTCATACCTGGATCGAGAGAGACACTGAGGACAAAACACCTCAATAACTGGCAAATACACAACCTATTTCTTCACATATCTAGACTCTCATGTAGCGATTTTTTCATTTTCAATCACTGGACCCAACACGTTATCTAACCCTAACCCTACCCTTAACCTTACACGCGAGTGTACCCTAACCCTACCTCCTGTATCTCTGTATAAAGCCCGGGGCGATTGTACCCAGAGCAAATGTCGACCAACAAGAACATATTAACCGTCGTCCACAATATAAATCTGAACCATTTATTTTTCAATACAACATTGCTAATAAATTCATTTATTCGATATTGTCGGCAGTGATTCTGACAGTACCTCGAACTTATACAAATAGTGCTTACCTGAAGTTATTTTTCTCGACAATAAGGCAATGGGAAGTCCTACGAACGTGTTTCCCGCCTGGTTTCTTTGGAGGCTCTGCGGGAGGCTTTGCCTCAGTCGATACATCCGATCCCATTTTTTTTTTTAGAGATTAGGAGAACTTCTGACGCCCACTTTTGCTCTCCGAGATTGAAGTGATAGGCTGTACAAGTAACAAGTCCTTCATTTACACGTGAAACATGGACCTGTAAAGTAAATATGCTTCAAATGTTACGAAGCGCTCCCTATTATACGCGGGAGGTAGAGGTTATCCGAACAAGGCAAATCATGCCTGAGTAATCTTGTAGAATCACAGAGGCAACAACTGCAGGGACCTGCGGGAACTCACAATTGAAGTGGTTACAATTGTTTTCCTATAGAAAAATCACGACCTTGGGATCGTTTGATGAAACCAACTCCATGACAGCCATATCTTTGTCTGCGACTTATACGGAGATTTCCAGAAGCGGACAACCCGTTAAACAAAACAATGATAAGCGAAAAGTTAAAGAATTTGTTTTCGACGCCGTAGGCTACAAAAATATAGTCTTTGTCCCGATCCATACGATTTGTATAAAGGTGGTAAATCAAGTCTTTATTAGAGATCATGTTCACAAAAAACAGGCCCGTCAACCCAGTGGGTTAGGCGGCAGGTTATAATGAACAATACATACAATAGCAAAGTACATTAACAATAACAATACAAGTTACAGTGTAATAATATATGTGATAACAAGGAGCACCGGGATAAAGAGAGAGGAAAAAGGAAGATGTGAAAAGGAGAAAAGGAGAGGAAAACAGAAGTGGTATAGTACAGAACAGGGTAAAAGGAGAAGATTGTAACATTATGGTGAGGAAGCTAGAAGATCCCCATACATGATACATAAATGAATAGTGTATAATTGAATCGAGATAAATTGCGTATTACGGTAAATATTGTCATTTTGGTACAGAATGGTTACAAGTTCATACGATTTGTATAAGAAACCTTTCAACACTAAAATATCTGGAATGCTATACAGTGCGTTCCAGAAAAAACGAAACCGAGAAGTATCGATGTTCTATCATAACTTAATCACAACTATAATTAATGAATGATATATATTTGGAAAGCTTAGAGTCTCCTCTTTCATGTGGTGCTACTCAGATAATATAATAATACTTCACGCATGAGTGATTAAAAGCAATTTGAAGGAAGGAAACCAAAAAGACATTTGGCGGGCGGTATCTGAATTTCGAAGAAAAGTTCGCATTTCTAGAAAGTTGAGTTTCTGCCCTTTCATATGACACCTCAATCAGGAAAAATGAGCGAGGAATGACAAAGTTCTGTTTGTTTAAAATAGTGCTTGCATTTCCATAATTTTATTAAACGAATTCGTTTTCACTGGCTGCCTGCCGTATTATTATTATTATTATTATTATTATTATTATTATTATTATTATTATTATTATTATTATTATTATTATTATTATTATTATTATCATTATTATTATTAATATTATTGCCAGTGGGGGGGGGGGGGGGGGCGTCGAACACTCTTGTGCACGTCATGTGATTCCTGACTGAATTAAAGGTTTATAATTATGATTGCAGCATCAGCTAAGTCCAGCATTTTGTGTGCCAATATCTTAAAAAGAGAGTGCAATCGCCGAAATTTATTGTCATGGTATGTTAATTGATAACGTAGATATTTTAAGTTTCTCTTCGATTTCTGCGATTTTGTAAGAACTATGGTACTTTTGTTTTCAGCGCTCCTAAATAAGCGATAATATGAGTAGTTGTAAATTGTCTAGATTAGTGCAAATATCAAAACACTTCTTTGTTATTCAATAATTATTTTTGATGATTCTTAATTATTAATTTAATGTAATAGATCATTGAGTTTTAAATGGGGCCAAACTTGACTACATAAATTAACATACGTTAAACTTACATAACAATGTAAGAGAGATTGCTTTTCAGGATAATACAGTTTAAGCTGTCTAGACGTTGCTTAATGCATTCGTATTGGTATTATCTTCCATCTGAGAGTGATTATAGACGTTATTTATATGGATAATAAAGATATAGCTGTCCGGGTCTTTAAAGATAATGCTTCAAAACGAATCGACCAAGCTGTTTATTTCTTTATTCATGGTCTGTTTCTACTGTTTATCTATTTTCATAGCCAACCCTCGAAAACGAATTTATTATGCATTTCACAGAGGAAAGTTTGAATAGGAGAAATATCTATATATATATGTATGTATACATATATATACGAATTATTTATTGGGCTTATTTTGCTATCCAATAGATCCGTACAATATGGCACAGCTTTAGGGGCCTGGCAGAGCCCCTGCCGGGGGTTCCGGGGCGGAGCCCCAGGAGGCTCTCGAGTTTATTTCACTCTCAAGAGAAAGAGTCTCTAAGATATAATAAAGAGGTTATTTCTTAAATGAAATGAAAGGTCTCTTGAAAGTAAAATAGCCCTTTCATTTCAATTATTGAAAATAAACTCTTACCCATACTTGATATTTAAATTGCACGGCTCCTACTGTGTGCTTTTTTGCACTCTCCTTGATCTATAAAGGGTGCTTTCTTTATTTGATCATCAACAAAAGCAAAATGCTAGGCCATGAACTTTTCGAAGAGTGACCAGATTGAAAGTATGCTTAAATGGGGGCTTTGATGTATGCAGAAAAAACAGGATTAAGATCCCATGCAACGCTTCGAAATGTAAAAGAAGAATAAGAAAAATAAAGTTGAGATTCGACCTTTATGTCTAGACGTTGCTTAATGCATTCGTATTGGTATTATCTTCCATCTGAGAGTGATTATAGACGTTATTTATATGGATAATAAAGATATAGCTGTCCGGGTCTTTGAATATAATGCTTCAAAACAAATCGAACAAGCTGTTTATTTCTTAATTCATTGTCTGCTTCTGCTGTTTATCTATTTTCATTGCCAACCCTCGAAAACAAATTTATTATGCATTTCACAGAGGAAGTTTATATAGGAGAACTATATATATATCTATTTATATATGTATGTATATATATATATATATATATATATATATATATACACATTTTTTATTGGGCTGATTTTGCTTTCTAATGGATCCGTATAATATGACACAGCTTTAGGGGCCTGGAAGAGCCCCTACGAGGATGCTCTCGAGGTTATTTGACTTTCAAGAGAAAGTGTCTCTAAGTTAACAAAGAGAGGTTACTTCTTAAATGAAGTAAAATGACTCTTGAAAATGAAATAGCCATTTCATTCCATTTTATAAATGAACTGTAATCGATTCCTTGATATTTAAATTGCACTGCTCCTACTGTGTGCTTTTTTCACACTCTCCTTGATCTATAAAAGGTGCTTTCTTTCTTTGATCATCAACAGAAGCAAAGTGCTAGGCCACGACCTTTTCGAAGCGTGACCAGATTAAAAGTATGCTTAAATGGGGGCAATGATGTATGTAGAAAAAACAGGATTAAGATCCCATGCAACGCTTCGAAATGTAAAAGAACGATAAGAAAAATAACGTTGAGATTCGACCTTTATGTCTAGACGTTGCTTAATGCATTTCGTATTGGTATTATCTTCCATCAGAGAGTGATTATAGATGTTATTTATATGGATAATAAAGATATAGCTGTCCGGGTCTTTGAATATAATGCTTCAAAACGAATCGAATAAGCTGTTTATCTATTTTCCTTGCCAACCCTCGAAAACGAATTTATTATGCATTCACAGAGGAAAGTTAATAATTAAACATATGGGCGCAGACCAAGATTATACCCACTCAAGTGTGAATTTGGCGCATCTTCCCTAATCTTCTTTAACCAGGAAATGGACTTCATTGTAGCCTTAGGACAGGATGGTGACATAAAATTGATAAAAGAACATCATAATCAGATTATCCGCCCCCGGAAACCCCATGATTTTATCAACTTGTATCATACTGGTCTTTTTCCTTTAGGAACTACGATTGACCTTTAACACGAATGTCGGCCATTTTTTATTTGGCCAATATGGCCAGCATGACAGCCCCAAGGAGACCTGTAATTGATAAAAGAAAATCATGATCAGATTCTCTGACCCAGAAAACCCCATAGATATATACTTTTATCATACTAGCCCATTTCCTTTCGTAACTACACTTGACCTGTAACTCAGATGGCGGCTATTTGAATTTGATCAATATGACCAGTATGACCCGAGAAGATCTCAAATTGATGAAATAACACCATAATCAGATTCTCTGACCCCGAAAATCCCATAAATATATATACTTTTATCATACTAGCCAATTTCCTTTCGTAACTACACTTGACCTGTAACTATCAGATGGCGGCCATTTTGGATTTGACCAATATGACTAGTATGGCAGCCCCAAAGAGACCCCAAATCGATGAAAGAACATCATAATACGATTCTCCGACCCCCAAAACCCCATAAATATATAAACTATTATCATACAAGCGTTTTCCTTTTGGAACTACGCTTGACCTTTAACTCAGATGGCGGCCATTCTGGATTTGCCCAATATGGCATACCCAGAGGGCGCCCTTCTTGGCGTCCGGCAGAAATCGTAAAAGTATGGTATAATCTACCTCTGGGCCAAATTTGGTGCTTTTAGAAGAATCTGCACCAAACAGCCCCTATTTAGCCCTAACAGCCCCCACTATTAGCAGTCACGCAAAACACAATAATATTTGTCAAATTATTATTCAATAAAATCTGAGAATGTATACTACTATCTAGATCTATTATTTTAAAATTATTTTAAAAATAATTCCATACATTAAGGTAAAATAAAAATATTCCAACCATATGAGCGACAGTGTACATGTTATCAAATTTGTACAGGTAGTAATTTTTCTAAAAGTACGAATTTATCATTGTGATTGACATTAATTAAACGTTCCTCAAATTTTAATATCTATTTAGAAATTTCCTATAATATGGGGTTTAAATCCCACAAACGTATCTTTCACCATACTATCAAGCTTATTTTGTCAACCCTCCTGTTTTATGTTTTCGATTAGCTACAGCCAGGCTTACTTTATTCTACATATATTCTTTTGACATGTGTAAATTTGCAATATTTGTTTGTTATATATTTGTAAAAATGCAAAAGAAAAAGAAAATCAAACAGAAATAAATAAATCAAAATCAAATCGAACCATAGGTCCCCTCTTGTTTATCACTCTTCTATTTTGTTCAATATTTTAATTCAAGTTTTCAAACA